AATACACTACAGCACTCAATGGAAGGAAATACTCAAAACTCTAGAAGCTATTATTATACAAAATAAACAACCCACATTAAATAAAATATCATTCACCACAGAAGAAATGCATATTAATGTGTACACATATTAGTATTAAAAATTAACAAATAAATTAATTGATAAAATAAAATAAACTAAGTAAATCGCATTTATTGATAAAATAAATTCGCATGCCCTAATAATCAAAAAGCAACATTAAATATTTCCATTAGAAAAAATATGCACGACACACACTCTCTCTTTCTCTCATTCTCTCTCTCTCTCTCTCTCTCTCTCTCTCTCTCTCTCTCTCTCGAAGACTGACCTGTCAAAATAAATTAGTATTAAAAAAAAAAGATAAAATTAAATAAATCATATAAATAAATAAAATAAAATAAAATAAATAAATCGCACCCCCCCACTTGCAGTTAATTTTAAATTTCCAGCTTCCCGAAGAATGCCAGGATGTCATTCATTTATTCAATCAGCGCATCTTTGTGATGCTGTGGTCACCACTCTCCTTTATCTCACAATTATGGTGCATAGTGACATTCACTGCATAATAGTAAAATGGTTAGTCGTTCCTTTTACATCGGGGGTGTTGGGGTTAGCCCCGTCCCTCTTCTTAGAGGTGGACTTGTTCTTGAAGTTAACTAGGAAGTTTTAAGAATAATGGAAATAAAAAGAACGCTTACATTTAGAATCAGAAAAGGGACAGGTGAAATTTCTCGGCCACATAATGGGGAAAGAAGAAAAAAATTAATACTCGTAGGACATTTTTACAATGATTTTCACTCTGTACAAGGCCCGGAGGCCAGTCAAGGTAGGTTACAGAGTAACAGGTAACCTCTTGGGAGTCGGTTCCACAATGCAGTGGTTCTTGGGAAGAATCTGCTCAAGTGGAACTTGTATCGAAGACAAAAGGGACAGTAGTAAACTGTGAGGAAATCTACTTTGCAAGTTTGTGTAAATGGATGGCAGAACAGGAAGCAGGTGGGAATCGAAACAAGACAAACCTTGCTAAGAGCTACAAATGTGTTATGGCCTTGTTAAGGCCAGAAATAAAGACACAAGAGAGGAATTGAGTTAAACAAATATATTAGAAACAGTAATACAAACATATACAAACGAGATTGTTACACCAAGAATGTTCGTTCCGACTGTCAGAGCTGACTGCTGGAAACGCCACCCTCTAAAAGACAGTAGCTGCTCCTATTTATAGCTGGACGAGTCCATGCGTGCGTGAGTAAATTACCAGAACAAAATATTAGGAAGCTTTGGAGGACCATGGTCACCCATGTTCTGGAGTGAGACGGAATAGAGAAGAAGCAGAAGTCTTTATCATATATTCAAATTTTTCAAAATAACCAAGGCATTTGTTGTTACCACGGCATTTTTGAACGAAGCTAAAAATCCAGGGTGACCTGACACGGCAAGTGTAGCGTTATATTTGCAACGTCTGATAAGAATACAAGACTAAAACATTCTTACATAAAATTAGTGTTCATTTATTCCTGGAGTCCATCTAATTAGCGTCAGCTATGGAGGGTATGTGGTTTTTCGGAGACGTCCTTCTAACTTTCGATCATCTCCAGGAAATAACTTTCTGTCATTCTGTTGTCTTCAGTGTATATATCCTAAATTCTGCTGGTTTGAATTTCTGTTTTATATTGGCTCAACCACCGACATATTTTAAGGGCCGAATCTGCACTTGGTGACTGTAAGAGCACCTTCTTGGTTAGCTGGCTCTTTTGATGTTCGGGTGTGACATCGAATACTAAGCTTACTTAAGTAAAAACCAGGATGACCCTATCATATCTTGGGGTCACCACAGATCAATTTCTTTTAGATCAGATGTTTCTTCTGAATGGCATCTCTGGTATTTTTGACGTGCATCCCATAATACATAAGTTAATGGATAGCAATTTATTCTTGCGAAGTCGCAAGTATAGTGGGTTCGAGCCTCGCTAGACACCCGAAACTTGTCACCTGGTAGTGTACAAGCTAAGCACAGAAAATAAGCAGAAATATATGTATAACTTAAAAGTACTTACCATCCGTGACAAGCACCAGAATTCGAGGTGCATCTTTGGCCTCTTTTCCACCATTCTTAAGATTGAATACATCATTGGTCACTCTATTGATGCCTTCGTCTGTGGGAGTGCCGCCTCCTCCATACGTTAGCTTATTGATCGCATTTACAACATCTGCAGATGTTTTGTGGCTGTTCAAATAGGATACTGTCGTGATAGTAGATCCAAATTTTACAAGAGAAATACGGATATTCTTAGGACCAATTGTGAGTTGTTGGGCAGTTTTCACCAAGAAACTCTTCACTTTTCCAAAATTTCTAGCCCCTACACTTCCCGATTCATCCAGTAAAAATGCCACGTCTGCTACACCATCACAATCTGTGGATAAAAAAGAAACAAACAAATCACTAAAATTCAAAAGGCTATCTGAACAGGAAAAGGTGTTTTCCAAAAGCTAAGCAAAATATAAAGAAACGGGATAATTTAGTTACAAAGAGAATATTATTGTACTGCTATGTAATATCAGTCCTTCTATATGGAAATGAATGTTGGACACTCTCCTTATAGATAATTGAAACAAAAAGGCCGCTTATACTTAGAATCAGAAAGAGACATTTGAAATTGCTAGTACATCATGAAGAAAGAGTTTGGAGTATTTGACACTCACACGGAGATACGTAAATAGCAAATGATCTATTCGAGAAGCTTGTGCAATTAGATGACAGTTGAATATCAGCTATTTCTTATTGTAATAATAACCAGGTGAACATTAAATTGATATTTGGTAATAACACGCCTAGTAGCTTAAGATCTTTATGCAAATTAATTCATTTGAATTTTCAGTCTAATTTGGAAAGTAAGTTTTCTCTTCAGTATGCTCTCGGCCATGTGAAAGAATCCAGCCATTAACGAAAGAATTATTTCTGAACATGTTTGGCGCCATTCATGATATTCATATGTAAGTCTGGATTTGACAAGACTAAGAATATAATACGATTATTAGGTTAATGTTTTGGTTTTGTAACTACTTACGGTAGTGGGTGAAACCTAAGGGAGTGACGCCTTAGTCCTCTTCAATGGACACTATTTATCCCATGTGTCGCTTACTTTCTCCTTAATCTCGTCTAAGGTATGAAATCTCCCTTTCAACGTAGGTTTTAACATTTAGGGAACCCAACACTAGCAAAGAGTAGAATAGTTTAGTGGGGAACTAATGATGATGCGACGCGTAGATTAGGTGCGGCACAAGGCCGAAAGTATGTGGGTCCGAGTGAGGATAGGACTCACTATTCAGTCGTAATTGATTTCACGAGACAATCTTGCTATCCACGTCGAGGTTTCCATGGTGATTTACTAAGGGAGCACCTAGTGAGGATCGAACTCACTCACAAGACAAGTTTGATAACCATTGCACCACGTCGAAGGGTCCATAGTGATTTACTAAGCGTAGCTTAGATGTAGCAAGAGGCCGAAAGTATGAAGCACCCAGTGAGGATCGAACTCAATCGTAACTGATCTCGCGAGACAATCTTGTTAACCATTACACCGCGTTAAATTTTGGACAAGGCCGAAAGATCGAACTCACTACTCACTAATCTCGGGAGACAAACTTGTTAACCACTACACCACGTCGAAGTACCTTAATTTTCCTCTTTTGATGGTCCTCTTTTTCGTTTGTCTAGTTATATCTGTATATAATTATTTTTCGTTATTCTTTGCTCTCATTTGATTTTTTATATGTCCGTTTTCATTGCAATTATAAAATTGTTACTATTAGTAAAATTTTAAAGATATTTAAAAGGTGTTACGTTAATTGAATAAGTTACATAATTTTGATTCCTCTCCGTGGAGCAGTTGTCAGCAAGTTGATCTTGCAACTAGTCGCACCAAAAGGTAATGAGGATGTTAATATTATCCGTTTCCTTATAGGGAAACATTTGGCATTCATTGACCGAACAGCAGGTTTCTCAAATCTCGTAGCTATTATTGCTCTTTCGATTACTGACCGGGGTTCCTTCCTAATCTTTTATTTGAAATAGTGCTGAATATCTTGATTATGGCATTAATGGAATAGTGTTGGATATCTTGATTATTCATTATTTTCTCTTCGAGTTCCATTTTAGTTGTTACTATTGAACGTTCTTGAGTGATATGGTTTCTGTCATTCGGTAGAGTTCTTTGTGATTCTGTAGCGCCAGTACACGAGGTTTGAAGAAAGATGGTCTTTTACCAAGATCCTCAGGCTTCACTCGTTCAAAGCCATTTTTAACCATTGATCTTAGAAAGCCGTTGTATACAGCTGACAGTTCACATATTTCTGAACATGTTTGGCGCCATTCATGATATTCATATGTAAGTCTGGATTTGACAAGATTAAGAATATAATACGATTATTAGGTTAATGTTTTGGTTTTGTAACTACTTACGGTAGTGGGTGAAACTACGCTAAGCGCAGATTATTCTATAATCAGTTCTTTTATCGCCTATATTAAATTTGTTATAATTGATCTATACGCCAAGGTATTTGAAGTGTTTAGTATTTACTAATTGCATATTATGAATTTCTATGATAGGTCCAGGTATGAACCATCACTGCCTCTTTGTTGTTTTGTTTTATTGTCCCTAACAATAGTACCTAATCCGATCTGCATTGAATAGCTCACGCATATGGCCTTAGATAGAGACAAATAAGGTTTATTAGATAATTATAGCATTATGCCGTAGTAAACAAAAGTTTGTCTTGTTTGGTGATTTAAATAGATACCTATTTCTCACCGGTCGGTGTTCAAGCCCATGAAAAAGCTAGAATTTCAAATCCTGATTTTCCAGTCAAGCCGGAAAGTCATTAAACTTAGTAAATAATAATTATCAAATATAAATATCAAATAAACTATCAAATATAAATATCAAATAAACTATCAAATAAGTAACTATCAAATTACTTACGAGTTGATAACGCCTTAGCAGCTTCTGGGAAATCGCGTGTGTATTTTAAAACATTCTTCGAGTGAAAAACCTTCTGCCATGTTGCCTGTTGTTTAACTGGATCCCCGGGAACATCTTGTCCGTTGAGGGAAAGAGAGAGATATGCTGCCAAGCCGGAATAAAAAGGTTTTTGAAGATCCTTCCATGTCGTTTTTCGCCAGTCGATACTGAAGTGCCTTTTGATGTTGTTGCAGAGAGGCATAAGTGCACCGGTGCAGAGTTTCGTGGCTTCGTATTTAATTTTTGAAATCTGTTCGTAAAAACAAATAGAAAGAAAAAATTATATGTGTGAAGGTGCGTACATGATAAGAAAGAAGAAAGCAGTAAGAAATAAAAAAAAGAAGAAAGCCAGAAAGAAGAAAAGAAGACGGAAAGAAAGAAAGAAGAAAACGAGGAAAGAAGAAAGACAAAAGAAGAAAGAAAGAAGAACGAAAGAAAGAAAGAAGAAAACACGGAAAGAAGAAAGACAAAAAAGAAAGAAAGAAGAAAAGAACGAAAGAAAGAAAGAAAAAAACACGGAAAGAAGAAAGACTAAAGAAGAAAGAAAGAAAGAAGAAAAGAAGAACGAAAGAAAGAAAGAAGAAAACAAAGAAAGAAGAAAAACAAAAGAAAGAAAGAAAGAAGAAAAGAACGAAAGAAGAAAGAAGATGGAAAGAAGAAAGAAAGACAAAAAGAAGAAAGAAAGAAAGAAAGAAAGAAAGAAAGAAAGAAAGAAAAGAAGGGAAGAAAGTAAGAAATAGAAAACTTACTGCATTGAATGTTTCATTACATATAGTTTATTACTGTCTAAAATCTTTAATTGCAGATAGCTCTTTACAGTGATATTCACCTAGTACAAATCTAAAGAGCCACTCAAGGTAGAGGGATACAGAGTAAGAGTCACAGTTTATGCAGGTGGGGAAGATAACGGTTACCTTAGACTTGAACAGGTTAGGATTGTAGTGATCAGGAAAACAACTTCTTGGTAGTTGGTTGCATAGAGCATTGTCTCGCGGGAAAAACATGCTCGAGTGGAACTTACTTTTCACCGATGAAATACAGAGGGAATGAGGATGGTTCGCTACAAAGCGCGTAGCATGGCGGGTCCTAGCCGTGAAGGTTAGAACTGGTGGAACTAAGTTCATCTGAGCACTTTCCATTGAAGTAGCGATAGAACAGCGACAGGCTTACAACATTTCGTCTGTGAAAGAAGGGGTTGCAGGATGGAAAATAATTTATCACCCACAAGGACGTGGAGACGCTTTTGGGTTCTATCGAAAATGGAAAGTGTGGTTGAAAAGCATCCTATCAGTACTACACGAGTGACCATCTACTTTCTTTCTTTATATGTGCAATATCCAGGACGTAGGTGATCATGGCTCTCCACTTAACCCTATCCCTTGTGGCTCTCAATAAGTTTCGTACCTCTTCCGACTCCCCCAGACCACGTTCTGCCATCCGCTTGCTTAAGCTTGCCAGCTATGTCATGTGTTGCTTTCCTTGTCTCTTTTTCTCTCTATTCGACCTGTGAGTATCAGATTCTCCAGGTTCTCTTTCTCATTACGTGTCCCAGAAATTTAATCTGTCTCTTCCTTATGTTAAGAATAAGCTTCCTCCTTGTTTGCATCCTTTCAGAGACCTCTTCGTTGCTAACACGCTCGCTCAATGATATCTTAGCATCCTTCTGTAGAACGACATCTCCACTGCCTCAAGCCTCTTCATCTTTGAGGAGACCGTCCAACATTCGCTGCCGTATAGGAAGACAGATGTCATGTAGCAACTCAGTACTTTTTTCTTTGTCACCAACTGCTACGAAAAAGATATTTACTACTATAGGTGTGACCATTACCATATATGTATTTCTTGTTTCTTAAAAAAAATAATTTGAACTGATTACTACCAGATGCAATTATTGTCTTAGGAAGTTCCTAGAAATCACCAATTAAAATATAATTGAAACAATGACACTGTGGCATTACTAATCTGTCACTAAATACGTTTTTTATATTGTAATAAAAATTCTACCAATTCAGTCACATCGAAATGTCTTGCGTTTCTACTTATTTAGACAAGCGTAAAAAATTAAGAATCTGTGTAAAGAATAGGATTACTAATTCTTACGCAAAAAACATTCAAACTGAGTACTAGTCAAAATCCTACGTTGATTATAACAACTGTGTATGTATGTATGTATATATATATATATATATATATATATATATTTCAAAAATGTTTTTATCATGATCTCTTATAATATATATATATATATATATATAAATATATATATATATATATTTCAAAATGTTTTATCATGATCTCTTATAATATATATATATATATATATATATATATATATATATATATATATATATATATATATATATATATATATTACAAGAGATCATGATAAAAACATTTTTGAAATCGCTACTATAACCTATATATATATATATATTATGGACATTGAGGTCAACACCTTGCAGTGTTTCACGCAGTCTGTTTCAGGCTTAAATACAATCTCTAGGTCTTCTTCTAGCATGGAGATTATGTTTAAGCATAAAACAGACTGTAGCCACCGGATATTGGCCTGAATGCTTATTAGAATAATTCTAATATTAACATAAACTCTATCAGTGATAACCACAAAATATAGCATACATTAAAACTATATTTTCAATAGATAGATAGATAGATAGATGCAATTTTAATAATCAACTTAGGATTATATATATATATATATATATATATATATATATATATATATATATATATATATATATATATATATGCATTCCAAAAGCTAAAATATCAAAAAAAACAGAAAAAGACACAAACATCGTTAGAAACAAAGTAAAGAATACTGAACTGCTACATGATATCAGTCCTCCTATATGGCAGTGAATGCTAGACAATCTCATCAAAGATGAAGAAGAAACTTGAGGCAACGAAAATGTGGTTCCACAGAAGGATGCTTGGGACGTCATGTACTGAACACGTGAGCAACGACAACGTTTTAGAGAAAATGGAAACAAAAAGGAAACATACTTAAAATCAGGAAGAAACAATAGAAATTTCTAGAGCACATAATGAGATAAGAGGGCTTGGAAAATATGATACACACGGGACAAATTGAAAGATAGGAGACAAGGAAAAACATCACATAACATACTTAGTGAACTTGAGTAAATGAATGGTGGAACAGGGTTGAGGAGAAATAGCAGTAAGAATTTATTACGAGCTACAAAGGACAGGAAATTGTGGAGAGCTATGATTGCCCAAGCACTGAAAGGACGCGACACGTAGGTAGAAAAAGAACAGTTTTATGACTCTCCAATAAATCCCAAGCTGAAGAAGGGTAAAAAGCTTATATGTATAACGTCATACATAGACAGACAGTTTCGCTGTTCACCAGTGCGGCTAGACATCCTTTAGCTAGGGTCGAAACCAGACTGGCTTGGTCTCAGTCGGAGATTCTAACCATTAAGCCGTCGGCGCACATTAAGGATGGAGGTGGATCTTTTAGCGTATTTATTTTTTAGAAACACGCCCAGTGACCGACAGTGACTCAATTCGCTTTTTGCGAAGAGTCTCGCTATATATATATATATATATATATATATATATATATATATATATATATATATATATATATATATATATATATATATAACACGACTCAGTTAAGTGACTCAGTTAAGTGACAACATTCACCAAATTAATTATCTCTATACACACACACACACGCACACACACACATATATATATATATATATATATATATATATATATATATATGATTTTGTATATGTATACGCTCTGTCTTTGATATTGAGCACTTTAACTCATAAATATAGAATGCCTTAAAACTATATTTTTATCGCAATGAAACTCACGCCCGATCTGAAGAGGAACTCGTACATACGATCCATTGCCAAAGATGCATGTAAAGTGGTCGGCTCCCTGTACCGCTTCAGTAATTACCTGACTTCTCCCGCTATCCTCTAACTTTACAAGAGCCAGATAAGGTCAAAAATGGAATGCTGTTGTCATATTTGGGCGGGAGCTACCCATACCTCCCTTTCCAGCCTTGATAGAGTCTAAAAGACTCCCCGAGCCCTTATTCTCCACCCATCAACCTCTCCCCACACATGGGAGATGTAGCAAGCCTCCCGCTGTTCTAGCGCTATTGCCACGGAAAGTGCTCGGACGAACTACATTCCCTAGTTCTGTCATGGCAAACCTTCATGGCAAGAACAGGGCATTTCACTTAAATAGTAGCAAACCACCTACATTCCCTTCAAATTCCATCGGTGAGAAGTAGAGTCCATTCGAGCAGCTTCTTCCTGCGAGTCACTGCCCTGTGGAATCGACTTCCAACAGGATGTTTACCCGATCACTACAATCTTAACCTGCTCAAGCCTCGGGTTAACTGCTATCTCCTACTCCTATACACACAAATGGCCTCCTAACGTAACAATCTACCTCGAGTAACACACAGACCTTGTAAAAGTGAACCTTACTGTAATATATATATATATATATATATATATATATATATATATATATATATATATATATATATATATATATATACTCACACTAAATTTTATTTTATTTTATTCCCGGAGTTGTTTTTTCTGTTTTCTTTTGAATTTGTAGGTCTGATGAATTGATCGTATTTACGATTCCAATGGAATAAATTATGACCATGGAATATTAGTGTTTAAGCCTTTTATCATATCCTTACTCTGTCCTGGACATTGAGTTCTACCTGGATTCTGTCCTCTTGAAATATTTTTTTTATACAAATATATATGCATGTGTATTTATGTATGCATATATATTTATATATTTTAGATATATGATTGCATATGTATGTGTATATTTACCACTAATATTATCTATCTATCTATCTATCTCTCTCTCTCTCTCTCTCTCTCTCTCTCTCTCTCTATATATATATATATATATATATATATATATATATATACTGATAGTTGCTTGCTAGATTTTTTTGCTTGGGTCTTTCGTGTAAGAAAGTATCTGTGATATTAAAGTGATATATACATTTTACAGTATGAATACCCCCTCTTTGAACATCCGTTAGCTCGTGCTAGTCACAGGAAATCTAGTGATAGCTTCGGCAGTATGTTTTTATGTTTCCCTCTCTTAGCTTAGCTGGTTCCACTAAGTTTGGGTGTCTAATCTATCCTGATTACTTGACTCCCGACATAGGTACCAATAGCACAGTTTGGGCTTATATCAGAGTATCCTTCTCCTAGATTGGTTGCCTTTACCAAGAGCCCCTACCTATTTAATACACACACACAAACACACACATACACGCATCTATGTATATGTATGTACAATTGGGTATATATATATATATATATATATATATATATATATATATATATATATATAGTAAAAAATGGAAGAACAATAAGATATGTAATCAGGTGTTCTTATTGATATGTGTGTATGTTTGTTTTAAAAAGAAATATAATCTATTAGTAATTAAAAGTAAAAATAATATTTTAAAATTGTAGATCAATCCAACGTATTCTAATCCAAACACCCCTTTTAGAAAGAATCTGTATGTATACAAGTAGAAATTTAACGAATAAAATGCCGAAAAACTTTTTTTCCGTTGATAAAAAACCAGATGACATGCGTTGAACGGGTTATAATTCGTTGAAAAAAGGCACCTCTACCCTACTTAGACTTAATCCATTTTCGAACGTAACTAATAATTGATACAATAATACTCAATAAAAAAGAACACACTACCGCCCCTGTTTAAATGATTGAATTTCTCTGTATCCTTGAATACAAAAATTATGAATGTATTTGCTTTTAAAACTCAGTAAATTTTAAAATAAGTTATTCTAAAATTCGCTTGAAGATGGAACAGAACTAATGCTTTTGATTTGATATAACTGAATTTGAAGTTTTTGTTTTCTGTTTTTGAAACATGCTAATTCCTGAATAGCTCTGAAACCATATTTTTAAATCAGTTAATTTATAATATTATATATATATATATATATATATATATATATATATATATATATATATATATATATATACAGAGGGTGTATCAAAAATACTTTTACAAACTTTACTGGTGGGTTCCTCACACCCAAATAGGACATAAGTCCATATAAACATATGCCCCAAAAGCCATCGTTGTACCCCGACACAGCATCTCATAACAAATGTTCAAAATGCCCTCTGCTTGCTTCTACACAGGCATGCACCTGTCGGATGATTGATTGGCGCACCTTTTCAAATACTCTCACACGGTGTCGAATGGTTTCTCAGGCCCCCATATCACATTGATGAAGCGTCTCTGCATTATTAATGTCTGCCGCATAAACCAATAATTTTAGGTGGGTCCACAGATAAAAAATCCAAAGGATTGAGTTGGTAGAACATGAAGGCCATGCAACCAGTCCTCCCCTACCTATCCACCTTTCATCGTAGATATCAGCCAGTGCATTGTGAACATTGTGACTAATATGTGCTGGGGACCCATCATGAATGAACCACATGTGTCTTCGTATTAGCAGTGATATATCCTCTAGCAGGTCTTCAAGCGTGTTCAAAATAAAGTCAAGTGACTTTAGACAGCTCATGTAAGACGTGCTGGGAGAACACATAGACCTGCTAGACAGTTACCTACAATTTCCAGCCCACACATTAATCGTAAACCGATGGTGGTGTCTAGCCTGTGATGTAACATGAAGAAATTTTTGTTGTGTAAATTTGTTATTCCATCTCTTCCAAATGTTGCCTCATCCGTAAACAAGACTGAAGAGACAAACAACAGATCGGTAGTTTGTGCAATAAACCACCGGCAAAAGTTCTCCCGTGGTCAGTGATCAGAGGGCGATAGGCCCTGCACACGTTGCAAATGATACGGTTACAGGAGATGCTCTTGAAGTATGCTCCATGCTGTGCCATGTGATGTACGACATGCTAGAGACAACAACAGCATGTGGAACGTATTCTTAGTGGTAATCATACCTCCGTTTTCCTCGATCCATAGATTGTGGTGCCACGGATACTATCTCAGCAACGAAACGATAAACAAGCGCAAAGGTTGGATGAATCGACAGCCTTCGGTCGCGAAACAATCTGATACAGCTGTGCAGCCTCGCGTACATTACCATTCGCGCAGTCGTATGTAAAAATCATATATGCCTGCTTACGAGAGGGCTATCCTGCGATTGCTAAACGGAACACTACATAACGCTACACGATGAAGACAGATTAGCTACAAATGTAGATGAATAACAAATGTAACCTAGTCAACATGACAACATAGCGCCATCCACCGTAAACGTCCTTAAACTTAACTAAAAAACGAAGGATTTGCGGACATACATTTATAAGGACTTTTTTTCTTACTTTGGTGTGTGGAACTCACCCCCCAAAGTTTGTAAAAACATTTTGATACACCCTGTACACACACACACACACACACACACACATATATATATATATATATATATATATATATATATATCACACAGTAATTTTATAAGTTATTCCAAAATTCGCTTGAGGATGAAATGGAACTAATGTCTTTAATTTAATTACAAAATTAAATTTGGACCTTCCATTTTTGAAACCTGGTTAGAACTGTGTAGCGGAAAAACCATATTTTAAATCAATTAATTTATAATATTAATGCTCTGTAAATTTACATTGAGCACTATTTTGTAAAAATAAAAATATCTATAAGAACACCGGATTATATATCTGACTGTTCTTTCTTTATATATATATATATATATATATATATATATATATATATATAGTTCTGTGATTTCCGTTAGTCCGTCCGTTACACCCTCTAAAACAGCCATACACTGACCAATCAAATTTTAGGGAGAAGTGCAAACAGGTAACAGCATATAAAATACAGCTGGCTTTATTACGGTTCTAATAAAGAAATCTAACATACAAAATGCACCCACTATTTTAACAACAATTTTATGATTAAAATAACAAATACTTATTTAATAAAATGCAATATTGTTTTGTTTTTAACTTTTTATTTACAAGAATCCAGTTTCGAAGTTCACCCTGCGTTTATGAGAACTATAAACAAATCACAAGGCCAAAAAATGCTAGAATTTGACTCCAGAAAGAAATATTTACACATGGGCATTTGTATGCTGCATGCTCAAGAGTAAGAAGTCCTCAGAATTTATTCTTCGCTGGTAAAAAGGAAAAAAAAATTCTTTTGTTTACCGTGAAGTCTTATAAAATTAAATTAAAGAAATTATTAAACCGCGAAGCTGGATTTTGCCAAATTATTTTTCTAAACAAATCAACTTATTCAAATTTCATCGATTGGTTTGCAAAATTGAACGAAACGTAAAGTTTGTAAAAAGTAATTTTAGCAATAACTTCAACAATACTAAATATTGCGAGAATTTCAACACGCTAACGCGTGTTGCAAATGTTCTAGTATGCATAAAAGCGCCATCAGAATCTATTTAAACACACAAAAAACTTACCAGACTCCATCCAAAACATACTAGTAGAAAATATAAACATAAAACTTCATCCACGTGTAAAAGAAGATTAAAAATAATGGAAGCCTTAATAGTAAAAAAGAAAAAGCCAACACTTAATAATATTATCTACGAACACAGCCACAACGTAAATAAGACACACTATAACTCTAAAAACATACAGAGAACCCATGCACCCAATTAAAAAGCAAAAATAAAATCATCCTTGATAATGGCTACAAGTGTAGCCGAAAGCGTTCGGAATTACAGAACATTTGGACAGTTTCTACACACTCTGTCTCCAGAAAAAACACTTGTTTGAACATAAGAAAAATTAAATAAAAAGCATAATCACAATACCTTGGCTGTCGTCTTTAATGAAACATGTATAAATGAAAGATTGCTGCCTAAATATACAATATATATAAATATATATATATATATATATGTACGTATATATATATATATATATATATATGTGTGTGTGTGTGTGTGTGTGTGCGTGTGTGTGTGCGTGTGTGTATGTATGAAGCCTAGAAAAGGCGAAACACGTAATCAAATCTAGTTTCAATAAAACCGTTTCCTATTTGGCATATTTTTTTCAAACTTTGGCGGTATTCTGCATCCTGTTTTAAACACGCAGATACACACACACACAAACACACACACACACACACACATATATATATATATATATATATATATATATATACAGTGTAACCCGGATATAAGAGAGTAGTCGGGACCGGAGAAGAAGTCTCTTATATCCGGGTTTCTCTTATATCCGGGTTTGGTCTGTTTTATATACATTAACACAGGCTCTAATTTGGGACCAGAGAAAATCTCTCTTATATCCGGGTTTCTCTTATATCCGGGTATCATATATCCGGGTTACACTGTATATATATATATATATATATATATATATATATATAGGAAAAAAATTATGGCAAAGTGGAAAAAGTTTTCCTGTAACACGTTTCATTCTTTTGGACTTTATTGAACTAAATTTGTTATAACAAATTTAGTCCAATGGACGAAAGGAAATTTTAGTCCAATGGACGAAAGGAAATTTTAGTCCAATGGACGAAAGGAAATTTTAGTCCAATGGACGAAAGGAAATTTTAGTCCAAAGGACGAAACGTGTCGCACGAAAACTTTTTTCCACTTTGTCATACATTTTCCCCAGTATTGATTGTTCTTGATATATATAAATATATCTTTTCGACTTTATACCTTGTTATCCTTCCTCTCTGCTCACTTTTCCTAATTACAATTTACCGCTGAAAACTGAGTAAACATTTCGATTGACATTCCCGGCCGATCCCTAAACACGACAAACACGGATCGGGTACGATTTACATAAACAATTATTTAAATTCGATTGTACCAACACGAACCCTGTTTTATAACGTGGTAAAAGTTTTTCAAATTTTCCTCTTCGTATTCTCAGAGTTGCTTATCGAAAGGGGCTTTTTTCCAACAGAGTAAATCCTTTAACTCACCCGCCAAATTCCTCCAAAGAAGCCTGGCTGGAAGGCCATTCTGTCTCTGCCGTCATCACTTTCTACATAAGCCATTCTCCGTACAAAGAGGCGGTCATTTTTGAAGATACATTTCTGTCCGATAATATCAACGACCGTTTGGACAACATCACTGCCAGTCGCTCCTGCTGTTCTTGTCCTATCGACGGCCTTTGAAGCCGCGATCATTAATATGAGCGACAAGATAAGGCCAGTCCAGTTAACTTGCTTCATTTTCAGCTGAACTTTGCTGGCGAGTCTACCCAATATTGGCCTTTTTATGATTGACTCGAGTAAGGTATCGGTGTGGGATGGGAAAATTTTGACGTCTTCTGCTACAGCTGCATGTTGGCCTTGTCGCCACAAAAGAAGGATATGAAACGTTATCGCCTTAAAATTGTTGGTTGAAACTTTATCTATGTAAAAATATAGATATTAAGTTGGACGTCACTTTGAAACTGGTTTTGTAAATTGGTCAGTTCATGTTCAAATCCTTGATAAGAAACAAACATCTCTATTGGGGTTGTGTTTTTTGTAGTTTTTTTTTTTTTTTTTGTGGTATCCTTTAAAACTGATGCCATTCCGTATAAAACAACAATAATTAAAATATTAGGCTGTATCATAAATAATTTCTGTTTGTCACTTTTATTCTTCTAAAGATGAAGTATAATTACATTTTATTCAGCTATGTATTCACCATTATTTGCAATGTCTTTTTACTTAACTTTTGCGTAAAATTCCACAGCTTCTGATACGAAAAAGTTTTCGATAAACTGTTGGGTAAACTGGAGTTTTGTGCCCGCAAAAAAAAAAGCCGGAATGTCAAAAGGACTCTTTATCCCTTAACACCGCTAACTTACTACTTACACTCCTCGTGAATGTTTAGTGTTTAAAAAAAAAAAATTAACATTTTAATAAAACGTAAACATATAATGAAAGTGAATTTATTCATATTATTTGTTCTTGAAAATTTAAAACAAAATAAAAGTACTAGTTATTTAATAGATTGTATATATGCAAGAACAATTTTATATCAACATTCAAAAAACTAATATAATTACAACTATGCAATGCAATATTTATCATTTATAAAGAATTAAATATGGAAACATTTTTATTCATAAATTGACAAACATTTACTAAATTATTAAAATATGGGAACCAACTATAAGGAAATCCTTATTATTTACCATTTTATAAAGTTCGAACTAACTGGCAATTAAAGGATGTTTTGCCAATGATTCTAATGAACATTCTAATAAATAAATAGTTTCTATTATTTTTGTTGTCAATTCTCAAGAACAAAGAAAATGTAAAAATTCAATTTGATGTTTATGTTCTCTTAAAATTCTAATCACTACCTTTTAAAACAATAAACAATGCCGAGTAGTGAAGGTAGTTAAAATAATAGCGATGTCAATGGAAAAAACTGCCCTTTAGACACTCGTTTTTGCTTTTTTTTTTTTTCGGTCACGAAGGTCCAAGTGTGCCAACTCTTGAATCTGGTTTTCATCAAAGAAAACTTTCGTAATCAAAGCATTTTGCAACGATCGAAAAAAGGTCAGGTGAATATGAGGGCTTTAGCAGAACACACCAACCGATTTCTAAAATTCCTTCCTGTGTTATCCTCATTTTTAAGCAACCTGTCTTTGTCATGGAGAAAACATTTTTTTTATTGACGATTACGGGCTGCTTTTCAACCATTTTTTTATTGACACGTTGCGAGCTGCCTGGCGTATAAATCTGCATCGAGTGTTTCATTGCGTTTAAGAACTCTAAATAAATAGATATTAGAGAAATAAAAAATACTTCAGCGATAGAAGGAATCTTTCACACCGAAAAAGAACAACCCGTAATACAAAGAAATATCGAAGAATCAGATATATTCAAATCTGAAATGAAATCAGCCAAAAGCCAAATTGAAGAGAAACAAAAGAGCAGGATCAGACGGAATTGCAATAGAAATAGTGACAGTTTTAGATTATTTCTGCATCCACTTTTGAAAATTACAGCTATAATAATGCAATATACAACAGTGGTGAAATACCGAAGGACCTAAGCAGTTTTATTTTCCTAGCGCTGCCTAAGAAACCAAGTGCAAATAAATGTGAACTCCACCGGATAATATATATATATATATATATATACACACATATATATATATATATATATATATATATATATATATATATATATATATAAATGTGATGAATAGAGCGCGCAGAAAAATTATACCGGGAATAGTGCAAGAACAGTGCGGACAAAACCAAGGTGCTCATAAAATATTGAGTTTCATCATGTTGAAATCAAAAAGATAATAATTTCAAATGATGGAAAATTGAACATTCCGATTGTCAACCTTGTACTTTTGGAAATGTTGACATCTCCAAATAATTAAAAAAGCAGACGATTAACGTTCCTGATCTCATCACTTCTGAAGTTGGTATTCATGCTGATCTCGCAACTATTTGTTCTTGTCTTACTTGTAAGCTTGATCGGGTTCGATAAGGTCAAATTTGCAGGTGAGCTAAAAAAATAAAATGACCTTCAACCTGGGACAAGTAATGGCTCCAAAACCAAACTGCTCTCTCTTAATCGTCTGAGCGAAACTTTTCTTGCCTTTTTGCATGGTTGAAGCTAACCTCCAAGTGGCTGGCTCATTGCAACTCCTCGTGCTAATGCTTTCCGCTGACATGAAATGGAAAGATTGTGATGAATCAACTGCAAGAAAGCTGCTGAAAGGAAAGATTGATCACTATATCGTGCTAGACAATTTTTCTCACACATTTATATAACTGCTATTTATCCATGAATTGAATATCGCTGTCACATCTTGTTTGGTGCTTTGATTAAATACAAAGAAGAATCTGCAATGTTACTGGTTCTGACTTGGCATCTCTGCTTCAATGACGTTTTTTTTTTATATATAAATTTCTTATTAGAAACTTTTCATTATTAAAGTTTTGACTAGTTTTACTTTCATTATTGTGGTTTTTTATCACAACATACAAATTGTTTTATATTTTACACCGCTAAGCAAGCAGGGTGGATCAGAAATAAATTACTAGCCTCCGACGTGATTTGAATTCGCATCACGGATTCTTGTTAGCCTGGCATAAGTGACTTGGTTACAGAAAACCCACCACCATTCCACCACCAATCTAATCATATTACTGCATTCTCTGATATCCGTTACTCTACATCGCATCATATATTTTTGAAAACCGTCAAATATGGTTGAACTCTCAATTCGAATCTGAAACCCCCGCCCCTTTGTCTGATTCAGCGTGCCTTGACCGCCCGCCCACGAGGAGCTTTGACTCCTGCCCGAAGGCACGTTTTCTTTAACAAGGTTTCTCGATTGTGCAGTCGAAATAAATGCCGTTGAAAATAAACGGAGCGTGTACTCAAATACGGGTATCGACTAAAAATAATGTTTGAAGAATAAAAATATATCGGATTAAAAATGTAAAATACATTAAATCTTTATATATATGTGTGTGTAAGTGTGTATGTGTGTGTGTGTGCGCGCGCTCGCGCGTGTGTGTGTGTGTAAGAAATATAAGAATCAGATATTACTATTTTTCCAAGACTTAAATTTTCATGCGGATACCAAGGTAGTTAATGGCTGTCTCAAAACTTCAAGGGGTACCAGTGATGAGATATTCAATTCCTTATTTAAAATATTATTATTATTATTATTATTATTATTGGGAATAAAGAATTGAGCCTTTCATCACTTGTGTCGACTGAAGATTGTGAGATAGCCGTATAAATATCTAGGTGTTCACGTGAACCCTGAAGTAGGTATTATTGTTTTTCTTCTATTACTTATTTTATTGACTCTGTTTAGATTTTACATCGAGCACTCTTCTTGTAGCGTCTTTGATTATATATATATATATATATATATATATATATATATATATATATATATATCGAAAGCGAAATTAAAAATAGAAAACTGAAAATGTGCAAGAAAAAACGAAAATAAATAAAGAAAAACAACCAAAAAAAATTAATCCAAACAAATAAATAAGTAAATAAAATATGTAAATAATAAGCAAATTAACAAACGCACAGGTAAATACAAGAAAGCGTATTAATAACAACCAATAGTAAAATAAACAATAATAATAAAAAGTTAACTAACAACACTATTAATAGACCCTAAAAGATCCATTCGGATCTACAATTATTCCCATTCAATAGCCCTTAGAATAATTTGAACAATCGTTACCATTCACCAAAACAAACATCAGAATAATAAAAAAAGACTACCCACAATGCAATACAATATACTACCAACAATGCATCACTGACCTATATATATAAATAAAACACAACAATATTGCCTGACGATTGCGTTTATCATGACAGAGATTGTCGCCTCTGGGTGTTGACTTCAATGTCCACTTTTATACTTACATACGTTCTATCCCTGATATTGAGAACTTTAACGCACAAATATAGTATAACTTAAAACTATATTTTATTTTATATATATATATGTGTGTGTGTGTGTGTGTGTGTGTGTGTGTGTGTGTGTGTGTGTGTGTGTGTGTGTGTGTAGGGCACTCGGACGTGGTATAACGGTTAGGAAGCTTATCTCGCTAAATCATTTACGGCTGAGTAGTGAGTTCGCTCCTCACTGGGTGCTCCATACTTTCGGCCTTATGCCACATCTAAGCTAAGCTTAGAAAATCACTATATATATATATATATATATATGTGTGTGTGTGTGTGTGTGTGTGTGTGTGCGCGTGTGTGCGTGCGTGCGTGTTTGTATGAGAGAAAGAGAGAGAGATACAGTTAAGCAGTTGTTCCTTTTCTGACGAGTTTCCGGACGTTCAAATAAAGTGTTATCTTTATTTATTTTGCACTAATTTTGTTTTCATCTTTTTTTATCGTAAGGTTCAGATAGATTTCTGTATGACCTTTAAATAAACAATAAAGGGTTTTGCGATAAAAAAAAAAGAGTATTAAAATTAATGAGCATGCTTTGTTTTTAAAAATTCGAACGACATGGTAGCTTCACGAAGAAACTAAAACTAAATGTTAAATGCTGGCTTTCTCCGGCTAATGTTTTCCGCTGACATGAAATAGAAATATTATAGCTAACCAACTGCTAGGTCAGCTGGAAGGAAAGTTTGGTCACTATATAGTGCTAGACAATTTTTTTCTCAACA